AGCTTTACAGCAGCAACAAATAGAAAAAGCAGTCAAATAAAAGGAGTTTTTTCTTCACAGAGACCGAACGGTCCAGAGGAAAAAGAAGGGACATAGCATAGCAAAGCTACATAGAACATTAGGAAAGTGCCAGAGCTTTATTATGCTGCCAATTAATAAACAAAAGGAAGAAATAAGATAGAGAAAGAAAATTGAAAGACAGAACAGGGTCTGTAATAGTAAAACACTGTTGTATACTAGTAATAAAAGTAACAGTAGTAGTGGTATAGCAATAGCATACTAATAATAGAAATAGTATAATATGGAATAGAAGTATAAATAGTATATAGCATAGTATAATAAATTTCCTTTTTACAACTCTGTAATCCAATAATAGTAGTAAAATAAAATATAGAGAATATTTAGTATTAAATAGACATAGAACTCATACATATATGATTGCATGTATCACTTTTATATCTTGGTTATTTTTTCAAAATCCTCTCGCCAACCCTTATATAGGTAGACCTCAACTTACAACTGTAATGAAGCCTGCCCATTACAGTCATAAGTCATGATGGTTGTAAATCAGGTCATCCATTTGACTAACCTGATTTTACCAATTTATGGAAATTATGGAAGTTGTAATGCGATCACAAACAACACAAATTGTTGTGAATTGAGGATTACCTGTACAGCAATGTGTTGTACATGGGCCTGCCCTTGAAGATCATTTGGAAATAGAATTGATCCACAAGTTGGCAGATCCACAATTGAAGGGTATGCCACAACACCTTTCCTCTGTTAATTTTTTCTGTTGACCAATAGGTTTCCAGGGACAATTTAAGGTGCTGGCTATCACCTGCAGAGTCCTCTAGGGTATAATGATTGGCTATTTGCCAGGTTGCTTACTTCTAATTTCTGCCAGTCTTGTAAGATCAGACACAGTTAATGCATAATCAGTGCTGATTATGTTACCTAGTTTGATAATGAAATGTCTGCAAGAAAACAACAAAACCCAGACAGCACCAGTTCAATCCTGAGCTACAAATATTCTCATCTATCGATAAAACAAGATTGAGATAAAATAGGGTTAAAAGTAAAATAAAGCAAATAAAAATAAAAAATACATATAATAGGCGGGGATTGACGTCATAACGACACGACATGCAATCTTGGGGCTCCAGGATTGTTGTTGATATCTCTGTTGCTGGACGGTCCTTTTTGGATCTAAACCATTCTGAAGGAACGGTGATAGAGAAGGGCATGTCCTGCTGATCTCAGGGACATCGCAAAGTCCCTGATCAATGCAGGAGAAAGCTCTTTTTGCTGGCTACAAGAGAAGCAGTCAAAATGGCTGCAGAAGGTTGGGACAGTCCCCTGAAACAGAATCAGAACAATCCTGG